GCCCAGCGGCTTTGCTGGACCCCCCCAGCAGACCAAGGGGACAGGAGCAAAGCTGCCCAGGCGGTGGGAGTCCCGCTGCCTGGGCGGCTTTGCTCCGGGGCAAATGAGCAAAGCCTCCCAGGCAGCGGGACTCCCACCGCCTGGGCGGCTTTGCTCGGGTGTCCCTGGTCTGCTGGGGAGGTCCAGCGGCTTTGCTGGACCCCCCCAGCAGACCAGGGAGACCGGGAGAAGCTTTTCTCGCCCGTGAGCTCCGGGGCGAGAAAAACCCCGTTCGTAAGTGCGGATCCGACATAAGTGCGGATCCGACAGTCGGGGACTGCCTGTAGTTGTATCCAGTAAATTTGGGTACTAATTGTTTCTCCTTGAGAAATCTTGTAGTGATGGCTATTCATAGATTACAAAGGTATAAGGGACTATGGTCATTTGGTCATTTGGTCTGGCCTCCTATATAACAGGCCATAAGGCAAATTAGTTTTTGTTTAGATCACATCTTATAATATAGAAAAACATCCACAATTGATTTAAAAATTGCCATTTATGTAGAATCCACCGTGACCTTTGGTAAATGGTTCCAATGGTCCTCTGATAAAAATGCACCTTATTTCTAATCTGAATATGACTAGTTTCAACTTTCAGTCATTGGATCTTATTATGCCTTTGTTGGCTAATGAGCCTTATATTACCACATTTCTGTTCCATGTATAGGCATGCACAGACTCTGACCCAGACACCCCTTAATTTCTCTTTGTTAAACTACAGTAAAACATGTGTTATCCGGCATGCTCAGGAATTAGGGCATTCCAGTTATCTAAAAATACTGGTTATCTCAGGGTCCCATCAACCTAGAAAAAACCAATGGACAATAATAGTAAAACTCAAGTTTTTAATATTGGTAGTTTTGTAGTGTGAGTCAGTTGGTCTCACATTTCTATTTTGAGTTAAAGATTATTAGTACTTCTTAAATAAAAAATTGTTAAGCCAATCACGGTAAACCAAGTCAGGCCTGTGCGCCTGAAGATGTGACAGTATTGTGGCTGGGGGTAATGCAGGTTAACAAAGTTTTCTGATTATCAGAGTGCCGGATAATAAAGCTTTCACTGTAAATAGATTGAGTTCCTTGTATCTTTCTCTATAAGGCATATTTTTCCACCCTTTAATCAATCTTGTGATTCTTATCTGAATCCTCTCCTTTGGTAATAAGGCTGTGCATTATGAGATTAATAAATATTCATATTTTGATAATGCAGCTAATGCAGATCCTGAAGGACAAGGTTTCTGTCAAGCAGGCTTCAGCTTAGATTTTTACAAGGTAAGATTCTACTTTGAACTCGTTGGATGAAATTTTATGATTTATCCCCATTGACCTCTTCTTCCTTCACCTATTCTAGTCTAGTTTTAATTGAAAATTAAATCCCTTGTTTTGAATATTTTTTATCATAAAGTTACTGACATTTCTCAAAACTTACAGACTTGAAACTTCCCAGTTCTATTTAAAAAATGGATAAAAGATATTATAACTTTTTATTTGTTAGAAGCGCTCCTATTATATTCTCTTGAATCCATATCAGCCTGTGCTATAGCATCATTTTGGCTCTGGCCAAATCCTCTTTCAGAAGATACTAGTGATTTTGGTTGTGTCATGGAGTACATAAACCCTAGGCTAGCCTGGAAACCAAGGAGTTAATGAAGGAAGTGCCCATCAGTGGTGACTGGCAGTTTTGGGGCAAATGGGAGAATAAAACAGTTGAAAAGCAGGGTGGTCAGATGGTTGCCAGAGTAGTCAGCAGAAAGAAAGTCTTGCCAGCAAGCTGATTAGAAGCTGCCTTGGAGTGACAATGACCCAGAGAAGGGACAGCCAGAGCCACAGGCTGCAAATGCCAACAGAACCAAGGGAGGCAGGAAGGAGCTCAGCATATTGCAGGAGAATTGTAAAGGACTGATAGTGCCTGCCTGCATTAAGAGATGTGAACTACAACCCAGTGGAGTGGGTGGGCCTAGATTTCCCTACCTACTCCTTTACAGGCACTTAAGAATCTGGGGCGGGGGAAGGGGGGAGTAGGAGGGAAGAGGGTGTGCCAGGCCTTTTGATGGCAAGGGCCAGATTACCTTTGTCAAACAGAAGAGCTGCTCCATAACAACCCTATGGGACAGAAATTAACATCCTTGCCTCCACATAGGGCTATAGCGATTTAGAGAAGCAAGGTGACAGGCTGCCCTACTGATCTGGGCAGATGCTGTGCAGTATGCTGTCTAACCAAAGCATGCTGCTGATGCACCACATGGGCTGGTACCTCCATTTTCATGTGCCCAACTTGAATTAATCTCCAGAGACTGATTTTTTTAGAAAGTACCAGCCCTTGAGATTTTTTTAGATCAGCCCTTGAGATTTTTTTTAAAAAATCCTAAGTGATTTATGGGAGGGTTTTTTCAAAAGCAGGCTAATAATTAAACTTTTTTTCTGGAGGGGAGGGGGTGACAGTGCTTTGAGAGTGTGCAAAAGCAGGCTAATAATTAAACTTTTTTTCTGGGGGGAGGGGGTGACAGAGAAGTGCTTTGAGAGTGTCTCCCTTTTGCCACCTGGTAACAATACTATGAGCCCTAGGAATACACTTTGTACGTACACTATACCGCTGCTAGACCACCAGGGCCTCACGTGTGTTTAATCACGGTAGCGGAATATAGTGTTTCTCAGACACATTGTTATCCATTTTACATTCATGTTATTTTTTTCACCTAATTAGCCTGTGGTAAAGGGATGGCTATAAGGTGGTTATAGCCACATTAGTCTGTAAAGCATAACTTTGGATACATTGGGCATCATTGTCCTCTTTTGTGTTGCCTTCAGATTTGTTTACAAAGAAACAGAGTAGTCTTTGAGAAATGTTATTCTATAGCTGCCAAACAGATTATGGCTCTGATGATTCAGGAACCATCCCTGTTGAGGAAAGACTTTTACAGATACGTCTTGACTGTAAAGTTAATCTCATACTCAATGGCTTTCCTGAAAAAGGGTGGATTAAAGCATGTACTTAAAGAAGTGCTTTCCTGTATCAGGGCCTATATCTGGTATCATGATCCAGATTTTCCTTTTTATGTTTAAATAAAACAGTACAGATGTTTAGTTGTCATCGTACTAATTGCTTTTCATCTGCATGTTTTTGATCATAGTTTAATATTGATCATTTCTGGTTTGGGGTTTTTGTTTTGTTTTGCTTTTTGTAGAATGGGGACCTTATAGTAGGAGGACCTGGGAGTTTTTACTGGCAAGGTATGTTCACTCACTTGGTTAACTAAAATCAAAAAGTAAATGCAAGATGTCCGGACAAACTTCATCCTGAGTTCTTGTTATTCTCTAGGGCTACGTCTAGACTGGCATGATTTTACGCAAATGCTTTTAACAGAAAAGCACTTTTGCGCAAAAGCGTCTGTGGCCAATCTAGACGCGCTTTTGCGCAAAAAAGTCCCGATCGACATTTTCGCGATCGGGGCTTTTTTGCGCAAAACAAATCTGAGCTGTCTACACTGGCCCTTTTGCGCTAAAGCTTTGCGCAAAAGGGACTTTTGCCTGAATGGGAGTAGCACAGTATTTCCGCAAGAAGCACTGATTTCTTACATGAGATCATCAGTGTTCTTGAGGAAATTCAAGTGGCCAGTGTAGACAGCTGGCGAGTTTTTCTGCAAAAGCATGTGCTTTTGCGGAAAAAGCTTGCCAGTCTAGACGCAGCCTAGGTGTAAGGTCATCCGTTTGAGTCTGATATCTCTTATATGTGTAAATCAGAATTACTGCTCTGAAGTCAATGTAGTTGTGTGTATTTAAAGAATGAGATCAGAAATGGATTCTTTAGTATGTGAAAAATGAAGTAAATATTTCATAGTTCATACTTCAGAGTACTTTCCCTCTTAATGGACAAACTTACCTTCATTTACATCTGGAATTGAAGTGTCATTTGTATAATAGAGAGAATACATTGTGTGTGACATTTAATAGCAAAAGTTATAGTTGTCTGTGATTTTTAGACTGATTACTGTCCAGACATTTTTAATACGTCATGTGATCATTGTGATATCACGGTGCTATATATACAGAGGAAACTTGCATTGGTATAGGTAATGGCAGGTGGGGGTTTTTGTTTTGTTTTTTATTTTTTGCCCCTTAATTGATTTAACCATTATCAATAAGGCTCATTCCTGGTGTAGATATTCTCAAGCCATTCAGCAGGTCTGTAATTGTGGTGGAACTGTGTTATGTCTGATGGGAGAGAACCCTTCACTAATAATATACTGCCCTTTTCCTATCCAGTCCCACTGAATTATAGCTATTATGAAGAGGCTATCAGTGAAAAGCATGATCTAGGCCTGTGTAGCATTTTGAAATGGAATGGAGGTGTGTTAGTTAAAAATATTAATACCTTGTTATGTTCCCTGGACTCTTCCCATTTCTGAATGATATGGAAATGCATTGGTTTAAATATTCTCAGGAAGCTCCCAGAGTGGCAGTGGGGAAGGATTGTCCTAATAGATGTTGCAATGCACTGATTTTCTCTGCTGTATCTGTCTGATAGGTCATTGTTTTGGCAATGGGATAATTAGTGATGAATTGAGTAAACAGTGTCTCAAAATCTGCATTTAATCTTATATTTTAAAAAACTGTAGATAACCATACATTTTGAGGAGTTGGATCTTCTCTGAATTCCTTTACTCTATGAAATTATTTGAATACAGGTCAAGTAATCACCACAAGCATTGCAGATATCATTAAGGACTATTCATTCAAGGATATTCTAAGGAAACTGACAACAGAAAAGCAGACTGGAGTGGCACCGCCCATATATGATGACAATTACCTGGGTAAGATGTACAGTCTAGAGCCACTGGACTTACCTGAATGAGAAAGCAAATCCTGCTTGCCAGGCTTTATGAAGGCCCTAATCCTGTAAACACTTACACATGTGCTTGACTTGAAGCACAGGAGCAAGGAGTCCCATTCAGCAGTTTGCTAATTATGTTAATGGGAAACTGACATGCTTAAAGTTAAAACACAGATGTAAGAAGTACAAAGATACTAATATTTCATGTTCCCAGCTTTTTTCAGTTGGGGAAATGGTTTAGTTTACTGTAATTAGGACTATTTTAACTACTAAGAGGAAAAAAAACCTTCTTTTTTGTCATGCTTTTGTACAGTAATGTCTAAGGGCCTAATTCTGCTCTCATTGAAGTTAAGGACAAACTATAATTGAGTTCAGCAATAGCAGTAGTGGACCCTTAAGTGATACAGTATATTCCTGATTATCCAAATAGCATGGGGGAACATGGATTTTATCTGGATCATTGAGAAGGCAGGTGCCATTCAGCATCAGGATGGCTTCTGTTGCAGCCGGAGGCTTATTTTCATCCTCTTGCTTGCGGTCCTAGCTGAAGATTTCTGCTCTGCTCCCTCCCTCCCATAACAGGGGGACTGTCCAGGCTCCATGAACTGCCACAGGAACCATTCATCAGCAGGGAGGTCTTCCCCATGGCCAAGCAACTTATCCTCCTTGCAGCCCTGGTCAAGGCTCTATGCTCTCTTATCCAAATCCCTGCAGAAGGCATGTATCTCATTCTGGGGAATGGGCAAGAGGTTTAGATAATAAGGTTCCAGATGAACATCTGTACAAAGAGAAAGCTAGATCTCTTTGAATATATGTTTTAAAAGATAGCTGCTGGCTCCTTCTCTCCAGGAATTGTGTGTAGTATGCACATACCTCTGCATGTAACAAATATTGCTTTCTTTTCAACTATTGTAGAAATGATGCAGCACAGTTTGAAGGCTACAATATATGTTCTCTCATATATGCTGTGTATTTGCCTACACAGTCATGGAAACAGTCCATTAGTCCTTATTCAGTCAAGGGGCGTTAGGCACCTAATCTTATGTTCTTTTTAATGCACTTATGCCTAAATAGCTTTGGAAATTTTACCCTTTACATATATAACAGATACAGTTGTGTGATTATACATCATAATGGCAAAATGGATATACAGTAGAGTCTGGATTATCCGACCTTCGGTAATCCGACATTCCGCTTTATCCAACCCTGCAGCTCCCGGAGACAAAGCGGTGCTTTTCTCTGCTATTTTCTCCAGGGCGCGGGCCAGGAGAATGGCCCAGCTCGCTGCCCCATGGCTCTTCTGGAGCTGCTGATGCCGCTCCTGCTGGTGCCACTTCGTCCCCGGGAGCTGCAGGCATCAGCGGCTCCAGGAGAGCAATGGGGCAGTGAGCGGGGCCGTTCTCCCAGCACGTGCCCGGGAGCTGCAGGAAGGGAAGGGGGCCAAGCGGTGTCGGCTACAGTAGAGTCCCTATCTTTCAACATTTTGGGTAATCCGACCACCTGTTGGTCCCATTTAGGTCGGATAATCGGGACTTTACTGTACTAAAAAGCTATTATCACAAAAGATGGAAGATATGCAGGTTATATTTTCTGGTGAATTTTAAAAGTACTAAAGCTGTAACAGCAGATTTTTAATGCAAATAAATAGCAAAGCATTTCCTGGTGATTTGGGCCTATAGAAATCTTGCACTTTTGAGAGTTATAATAAGGATACTCAAAATAACCTGAACATTTGCTTTCTTCTTTTTGCCCAGTCATAGATACATTAGTTTATACGGTTTTCAGTGAGATTATTGAAACAGAGAACAAATCTGGTTGCCCTTTCAGAAGCATGTTTCTTTAGAAGTAAGTGATTTGTCATGTTTCATGCTTGTAATTTATTCATAAAACAGGATACTCAGTGGCTGCAGGGGAATTTACTGGAGACCTTGAACAAGGTAAGAAGCAAATCAAAATGTAAAGCATATGTCTGTGTATGTGTCTGTTTATCTCTTCCTGTTCCCTAAATAGGTAAACAGGTCTTAAATATTTAAAATATAAAAGAGCGAGGTAATGTATCTATACTCAATATGCTTAGGGGCAAATCTTTCCTTGGGATGGTACAGCAAGGGAAAGCAGAACTGTAGTAGCCTCATATATGCATCCCCTGCCATAGGTAACTTTCTGCCTAGTACAAGACTATATAAGGGGATAGCACTTTAAGGCCACATCTTCCTGCTGTCTCTAGACGCTGAGAGAGAAGCCCTGCTGACTTGGGATCCTAGACATTTCCCAGCAGGGTTAAGGCCACATCTTCCTGCTGTCTCTAGACACTGAGAAAGAAGCCCTGCTGACTTAGGATCCTAGACATTTCCCAGCAGGAACAGACTGTGTTCCTTGAGGGCACGGTGCATGGGACAACATGTTAACTGTCCTTCTTCCCAAAGCAATGTGTTCTGTTCGTAGTTACTGCTTATGTAGCGAGAAGAGGACCCTTTGCTTTGTCCTCTCCCTGAATCTTGTACTTCAGAGCACAGCTGGTCAGGGTCATATACTTAATATTAACAATCTATATTTAGAAACAGTGAAAACATTATACAGGCAAATGAAATAAAGAACTGATCTCTTGAATAAGGGAAGGCTTAACAGCACATGAACAAAAATGCCTGAAAGAGAAAAATGTGTGAGCTTCTTTTAGAAGTGAAGGCACTTTCTAGGATCAAATAAATTCTGCCAAGGGATATTTTTATAAGAATTTGCATGTAGACAGCAATTTCATCCAGAAGAATCTGAAAACAGATTACAAATTTAACCAAATTATTGACAATCTAGATATCTGTAATGGATTCTTCACTAATATAAAGCCACCCCTAAGATGAAAATGGATCAACAGCGTAAGCGAGGACAGCAATAAGTATTCCAAGTTTAGGAGAATAAGTGAGGAAGAATTTTCTACTGCAATTACAGAGGAAATGTTTTGTAGCTAAGTGCAATGTCATTACCCAAATTAGAATTTTGGCTTCAACTCTGAAGTTTATGTTGCTCCCCTTTGTGACTTCAAATCTTAATGGTTTTATGGTATATCTGTCCTATGCCTCAAGCAGCACAGTTCCCTAATAGTATGGTTATAGGCTGACTCAGCAGCAGACAGCACCACCTATTGAATCAACACCACTTCCTCCAGTGTTCACTAGAGGTCTTATCCAAATATTGACCAAGTCTGACCCTGTCTAGCTGATATGTGCCAAGCTCCAAGCCAGCAGAGTTTAGAACAATATGACTTCTGAAGTTAAATAATAATCACATATACACAGCAGCAAGTTTATCCAACTCTATTAATCTATTTCCAGAAATTATGTTGAAATTGAGCAGTATATACAGGCCTGCTACACAGCCAAAGCCTTTGAAACTATGTATCTTGTCTCAGGCAGGCCAGGTTATTTGTCAGAAGGGCCAGCCTGTGTTCAAGGACATGACCAGCTCTATAACCAAAACATGCAACATCAGTTGAATGGGAGACTTTATGCAAATTAACCCAGTGGCCTTCACTGGCTACTTCTTATTCCCTGTAATTTTGGAATTAGGGAATCCTAGGGAGAAAGAGACCTCCCTCCAGGTGTACACTGAGTGTTAAACATTTAATGATGTAATATTTTGTGCATATGTCTAGAGATGATAACAGACACATTATATATATTTAAAAATCTGCCCTCTTGGCACAAGTTACAGAGTTCTTTGCTACAGCTAGTAAGCTAACATACCCTTAAATAATAGGGCTGTATGTTAGCAGAATTTAAGTGATTCTGCTCCAATCAGCTAAAACCGTATATTCTCTAATTCCGGGGTTCTCAAACTTTGTGATACTGTGACCCCCCTCTAAGTTGCTCGTGACCCCCTGGGGGGGTAGGGACCCACAGTTTGAGAAACGCGGCTCTAATTAATGTATCTTTTCAGAGTTGGTTGCTGGAGTGCCCAGAGGAGCACAGAACTTTGGCTATGTATGTATTGTACCCACATTTGATCTGTTTATTAGTAAAAATGCATGTGTATCCTCTTTTGAGGAGGAAAGACGGTATCATGTTTTTATGCCTCATTGTACCTACATTCCTTATCTAGGCGAAAGTCCTATGGACTTAGATCCTGATTCAGCAAAACACTTAATCATGCTTTCCTAAACTGTGCTTTAAAGCTCAGAATTTATTTATTTATGAAGTCTGTATCTTCTGTAGCCACTTATAAGACTGCTTTGAACTCTTAAGCCAATATTTCTGTAGCTGCAGACTCAAATCCAAATTCACCCCAAGTCCATGTGTGTTAATGTGCTATTCTGGTTGTTCCCATGATGAAGATCCAAGTCTAGTGTACGTTCAGGGACGTTCAGAGCTGGTTTTCAGTTCACTGCTCTATGTGTATGTGTAATGAAACTGCCAGATATGAGAAATCATGGTATGAGTTCTGAAAATAAGAGAGAGCAGTGTACATTGTGAAACCGTGCTTATATTCTTGTAGAATGCATGCAACAAAAGCCAGGTTTCCTGAACAATCTGCTTGGGAAATTGACAGTTCCGAGCTACAGACCTGACTTCAATCCTTGCATACACTAAACTGATTCCAGATGATAAAGTCATATTGCCATATTTGAACATAAGAACGTATAAGAATGGCCGTACTGGGTCAGACCAATGGTCCTTCTAGCCCAGTATCCTGTCTGCCGACAGTGGCCAGCACCAGGTGCCCCAGAGAGGGTGGACCGAGGACAATGATCAAGCGATTTGTCTCCTGCCATCCCTCTCCAGCCTCTAACAAACAGAGGCCAGGGATACCATTTTATCCCCTGGCTAATAGCCTTTTATGGACCTAACCTCCATGAAATTATCTAGCTTCTCTTTAAAATCTATTATAGTCCTAGCCTTCACAGCCTCCTCTGGCAAGGAGTTCCACAGGATGACTACACGCTGTGTGAAGAAGAACTTTCTTTTATTAATTTTAAACCTGCTACGCATTAATTTCATTTGGTGTCCTCTAGTTCTTCTATTTAGGGAACTAATAAATAACTTTTCTTTATCAGCCCTCTCCACACCACTCATGATTTTGTAGACCTCTATCATATCCCCCCTCAGTCTCCTCTTTTCTAAACTGAAAAGTCCCAGTCGCTTTAACCTCTCTTCATATGGGACCCATTCCAAACCCCTAATCATTTTAGTTGCCCTTTTCTGAAACCTTTCCAAGGCCAAAATATCTTGTTGGAAGTCATAGGTGCTATTTGTTGATCATTCTGTGGTACAAATATGATTCACCTAAAATGATACTGCAGTATCTGAGCGTCCCATAGTCTTTAATATACAGTTCCGTACAATATTGATGCCAGACAGGGAAGTACAATTCTCTCCATTGTACAAATGGGGAACTGAGGGCGTAGAAAGTTTAAGGCTACGTTTACACTGCAGAGTTTTTGCGCAAAAATGGCTAGTTTTGTGGAAAAAATTGTGGAGCATCTATACTAGAAATGCATTTTTGTTCAAAAAAAATACAGTAGATTGTCAGAAGACAGGGCTTTTTGTGCAAGAGTTACAGGCAGTCCCCGACTTACGCAGATCCGACTTATGTGCAGGGAGACGGGGAGCAGAGCCTTGGAGCACGCCCACAGCGGGACAGCCCGGCCCCCAATTACATTATAGCTTATTATATTTATTTCATACTAATATCAACTCTAAAAAGCATGTAGGAATACATGTCTAACAAGAATTTTGTTAAGACTATACATAGTAGTGAATTCACTAAAGAATTCTGCATTAACACTAGTGATTGCTCTAAAATACACACTTTGAATCAGGGACAAAACATTTTGAGTTTGGAAGTGTAAGGCTGGATCCTGGCTCTTCATACAGTCTCAGATCATTTTAAACTTTTAAAATAAGCTTAATAAACTGCACTACAAACATGGGAAATGACATGCTAGATAAGACCAAAGGATCATTCTAGGAAATTAAATGCCAGTTTCAATGTCTAGTAAAAGATGCTTCAAGAGAACTTTATGCATTTACTTCCATAACATTTTCTTACCTATATCAATTAGAGATTGTCCTGTGCCCTCAATTTTATAGCTATTAAGTCTTATTATCCCTGTAAGCATTTATTTCTTTGGAAACCTACTAAAACTTTTGACATGAATGATATTTTGGTCAATGAGTGTAACAGTTCAATTATGCACTACAGGCAGTCCCCGGGTTACGTACAAGATAGGGACTGTAGGTTTGTTCTTAAGTTGAATCTGTATGTAAGTCGGAACTGGTGTCAGCCGCTGCTGAAACTGATCAGTTTTAACCGTGGCTGAATCTGGATGCCAGTTCTGACTTACATACAGATTCAACTTAAGAACAAACCTACAGACCCTATCTTGTATGTAACCCGGGGACTGCCTGTATTCCTCTTTCTACAAAGAAAAAGCCTTTTTGCGCAAGAGCTCTTGCATAAAAAGGTATGTGTGGACGGACAGCAGGAAACCCCTATCAGAAAAAGCACAGGTGCTCTGATGGCCATTCTGTGAATGGCAATTAGAGCTTTCTTGCACAAGAGCATCCATGGCAGTGTGGTCACGCTCTTGTGCAATAACTTTTTGCAGAAGATCTCTTCCATAAAAAGTTCTTGCGCAAGAAGCCTGCAGTGTAGATGTAGCCTAAATGATTTGGTCAAGCAAATATGCAGTGAAGCAAAGAATTAAACTCCGGTCTCCCAGGTCTTATGCTATCATCACTGGACCATCCTTTAACTTTTCTAAATATATCTGTCATTACATTACAGTATAACTTGTCATGATGTGACTGAACCTTTTATTTTTTTTCTATTGCTAGGTTTCAATTATTAATTCTACAGACTTGACCTTTATTCAGAATTTCACTGGTGAACAGGTAATGTCAAAGATCTAAGCAATAATGTACTATCCCTCAGAGGAATATCATTGCACCCAAAATATTCTATTTCTAACCATTTAAATTATATTTTCTATTCTTTGAAATAAATATTCACAGAGGTGCAGAGGCTTGTCAGGAAAAAAATATTTTAATGCATATCAGATATGAAAATGTGTGTGTTGGCTTTTATTTACAGATGGCATCTTACTTTGGGTACACTGTCGCAGTGTCGGATGTTAACAGTGACGGGTAGGTTACACAATGCACCCCAATCCCATTGAAATCCAATAGGAATTTGATTGTGTAATTCCTCTTTTAATTCCTCTTGAAAATCCTGGCCTTAGTAAATAATGTTCACACTACATCTTCAAAAGCTATTATGATCCCTTTATAGGAAAAGCCAAAATAAACGTGTTGGTTGTTAAGCTCTTTTTTTTTCACTTCTCTTGGTTATAAAATGTTTCCTTTACTTCTGTGTTTTTCTAGCTCTAACTTAATTCTGGCTCTCAACTTTATGAATCCATTTTCTTTTTAAAAAATTTGGCCAAATGGTCTTTGTAAAGAAGTTTTAGTGGAGTTTTTCTCATGAACAACTAAAATTGTTCGAAACAGTAAGAGCAGAGTTAGAACATCCAAATCTGTTCAATTTCCTAATATTGAAAGAGACAAGGAGCGGTGGTGTTGGCTGCCTTTGGAAAGGAGTAGCTATGAGCCAAAAATAGACTGGTTCTATCCACCTACACTGAGAAGCAGAGCCTTTCTTTTTCACTTTCTCTCACACCCATGTCCACCTCCTATTGCAAGGACTGTGCAAAGTCACTAACCTTTCCAAAAGGAGCTCAAGTATGATCATGGAGGTCTATGCATACTGCATCATCTTTTGAGATTTGCCAGGTGGCTATGCTCTTCAGTAGTTCTAAGCAGCATTGTCCCTGCTAACGCCAATGCCTTTTAGCGCTCCCATTAGCCTGGGTTATGATTTTAAGCCCTGATTCATAGACCACTTAAGCACCATAAACTTTTCAGTATGTCTGCACTTACTGGTGCTACACAGTGTTGCTCCGGTGCTGCAGCTACACCACCATAAGGCACTTGCAACTGAGATGTAAGATTTTTTGTTGTTGCTGTATTAAATTCACCCCGTTGTGAGGGAGTTGATGGAAGGATTCTTTTGTAAACCTAGCAGTGTCTATACAGGGGCCTAACCAGTGCTTTTTTGGGGGGAAGAGAGGGGAAAAGGTGCCAGTACTCCAGGGGAAAAGTTGTCGAGCTCTGACTGGAGGTGCCGGTACTGCATACCAGGCAGTACCGTCACAAAAAAAGCACCGGGCTTAACTATATATCTTTAGAGTGATATAGCTAGATTTTTCTAAGTTTTAGATGTCAACAAGATCTAACATTTTGAATACTCTTAAGGTTTGTCTACCCCCGGATAAAAGCCCCGGGGCTTGGCTGGCCCAGGTTTTGCAGGGTCTGAGCACATGTACACTAATTAGAAATATAATGCAGAAGAGTCTGACAAAAATGGTTGAGGGAAAAGGTCTGTTTGAAGAACTTGTTATATAGCTAGGGATTGTGGAGGAATTAGAAGCAGGCTGTTTCACCAGTATCAGAAACCTGGTTCTTTATTAGGCTGAAAAGATAAATAGGGACAACACTTTTATCTGAATAAGCTCTGAGACTAGACCTTTTTTATTTTTTATAATAATTTATAAGGCAGCTCTGAACAGCTTCAGACTGAGCAGTTCAGCAAAGTTTTCCAAGACTATTCTTGATGTAAAGTCTGCAAGTGTTTTAGGGACAAACATAGGTTCAAGAAAGCATGAGTGTTGCATGGGCTGTCTTATAGTTGTCTCCACCATTGCTACAAAGAAAACAGCTATTGAACTAGAAACTTCCATTTTGCAGTAAGTTTATAGACAAATTCTTAGCAAGGAGAAGGAATTTTTTTCTTTGCAGGCTTAAACTATGTATCCAATAAAAACAGTGGAATAAAATGTTTATTAGTCTTTTATTTGTACTATATCAAAGTTCCACATAGTTACACTTTGACCTATTGACACTTCCCATACTCCTGCTGTTTATTACTCAGCAGGATATAAAAGAATTGCATACAATTCCAGCAGGTGGTCAGCTTGTGCTTTTTAATGTTGTTAAAAAGGAAGTAATACTAACTAGTCATATTTATGTGTTGGAACAAACACAAATATGCTGATTTATATTAACTACACCATCATGGTGCAGTAGTGAAATGAATCTAATTCAACTTACTGAAAAAACCCCATACAGTTATGGTTATACTTTACCATCAGTCATTATTTTTATTTCTGCTGCCTGTTAAAAGGGATGGTGTCAACTTTTAATTTGGCTCAGAATTCACATTTTGAAAAAAATAAACCTTTACAAAACCTTAGAGCAATTGAAATATGTCTGCAATTAAAAAAAATAACCACACAGGTGTTAATTATCAAACGAACAATTCCTCTACAATGCTTAAAACTGAAACGTTGAGGTACTGAAATCTGGAAAGTAAAATTAGCTATAAAACAAATGTCAACCTGATGTATTGCTTTTTATTGACCACACTGAGGCTATGTCTAGACTGCAGGCTTCTTTTGAAAGAGGCTCTTTCGAAAGCATCTTTCGAAAGAGCCTCTTTCGAAAGATCGCGTCTAGGCAAAAAAAAAACCACACAGGTGTTAATTATCAAACGAACAATTCCTCTACAATGCTTAAAATTGAAACGTTGAGGTACTGAAATCTCGAAAGTAAAATTAGCTATAAAACAAATGTCAAACTGATGTATTGCTTTTTATTGTCCACACTGAGAGAAATACAAACAATAAATGAGGATCACAGAGAATGGCAAGTAAACTGGGGGGTGGGAGATTTCTCGCCTCTGCTGAAGCCCTTGTATGTTGTTGTGGTAGTGCATAAAGAGACAGTAGAGCCTTGAGCTCAGCCAGGGAAGCATTCCCATTGAACGGGCTTTGCAAAAGGCAGCTTATCTAGCACTAAAAGGCCGCTATTAAACATTCTAATATAGGGGGTGTCTTGGAGACATGAAGGGGAAATCGAGCACTATGGGGATGCCAGGTAGTGCCCTAATCCATAGGCATTTAGGGACTGGTTGCTGTGGCTAGCTGAATGTTCATAAGCAGCCCAAAATCAGGAGAATATAAAGATGGATTAAAATCATATTAGCCCCCTCCCTCCAACCTCTGGGCTACAAATTTGTGCCAAAAACATGCTCTGGACATTTACATTCATTGGAAGTAATCTGAGTTGTTAGTTGTAGCCTAGGTGACCATATATGTTTACAACACATGATTCTGGGCTCTCCCTTTGGATGGTTTCCTAACCTTCTCCAACCAGATTTCTGAGGATCAGATTGTATTTTCCCCTGGTAATGGTGTGTGTGCAAGGGGAAGGCTCAGTTTGCAGGCTTCTCACTGGTGTTTCCTGCAATGTCACATACAACAGCAGTTCTTTTGCTCAGAGAAATAGGAACAGAAGAACAGCCACACTGGGCGAGACCAAAGGTCCATCTACCCCACTATCCTGTCATTAGACAATGGCTGGTGCCCAGAGTTCCAGAAGGAATAAACAGAAGAGGCAATAATCAAGTGATCCATCCCCTGTCACGAATTCCCAGCTTCTAGCAAACAGAGGCTAGGAACAGCATCCTTGTCCATCCTACCTACTAGACACTGATGGACCTATCCTCCAAATACAAGGATTTCTCCTTTTAGAGTCTCCAGGGCAGATGTCACCCCAGGAGCAAGGCAGGAGGCAGAGCCAGAAGATATCACGTATTGAAAATTCACCTTATCACTTACAATATTAATTAAGAAAAGATTGGTCCTATGGTGAAGGCACTAGACTGAGATTTAGGAGATGTGGCTTCAATTCCTGACCCTGCCATGGGCTTTCAGTGCACCCTTAGGCAAGTCTTTTAGGCTTATCTTTTAAAAGATGTTTATGCATCTAAAGATACTCATATGCATCTAATGGAATTTTCAGAAGTGCCAAGGTACCCAACTCCTATGAGAGTTAGTACTTTTGAAAATTCCACTAGGTGCCTATCTGATCCTTTAAAAATCTGTCTTATTTTCTCTGGGCCTCACTTCCTCTGTATAAAACAGGGATAATAATGCCCCCTTTCCCCCTCTTTCCTTTGTCTCTTTGGTCTGGTTAAAGATTTTGGAACAGGGACCATCTCTTACTAAATGATTTATGTCATGTTTAACACAACCAAGCCCTGATCTCAGTGGAGGCTTCTAGCCTCTACAATAAAATCATCATCCTAATAATAATGCATGCTAGGAGGATGATAGAACTATGGTGTCATATATAGTGTATGCAAAATAATTGTTATACAGATGGTAAAATATAGCATTCGTGGACACGAATATCATGTTTTCTTTTTGTGGCACTCACCAATCTCAATTAACATACTGTCCAAATGGCTAGCATCTTTAATAAAAAGAGAAAGATTTTGAGTATTTTAATGTGGGTAAAAAACCCCACAGCTTTAATATGTGTTTGTTCATTCAGCATCTGCTTCCTTCCCCTTTTCAGAATATGTGCAGCATAGGATGGTAACTAATATTTTAAGCAATGGAACAACTAAATAAAAGTAACTTTACATTTAAATTATTTTTCCTTATGGAGAAGTTCTATTGAATTTTTAGATAAGAGGTGTTTTGACTTAGAATTCAAAATTATATAGAATTTATTGAATTTCACTTGTATCTGGTGATTAAAAACATAGAAAATAACTCATTCTCTGTTAACTTGTGTATGATGTAGAGTATTGCACTATAGTGGCTATTGCTTGAGAACTGGTTGAACACCACGGTGCTAAACCAATAGGACTCTGCAGAAATGGCTACTGCTATAACAAACTAACCACACTCAACTGGCCAACTAGCCACATTGTTCAAGCCAACTAGTCACACTCAACTAGCCAAATAGCCACATGTGGCTAGTGTGTTGGACACCACAGGTAGCATCTCGTACATTTTATATGCTTTTTACATAAGAGTTAAGATAAATTTAGAATGTATTGTGTCTCTCTCATATGGGTTTGTTCCATGCTATGAAGACTTTTCAGAGATCTTTTCAGTCTCAAGGTAGAAAAAGCTCTGTTCTCAATTAAATAAAGATCATTGGCATGATGACAAGGAAATACAGTGCTTGCCAAAGTTAAATGTATCACAGTCAAGTAATAATAGTGTTTCACAGTAACAGAAGATTTTCATGCCATGAGCCTGATCCAATACCTACTGAAGTAAATGTGGCTAGAAAGCCTGTCTCTCTTGCCAAAAGAAGTTGATTCAGTAGATATTATCTCACTAACTTTGTCTCACTGAAATCAATGTGAGCTTTCCTATTAACTTCAGCAGGCTTTGAATCTGGTCCCAGATACCTATTTGATATTATTGGTTTATATCTATGAAATACATATTGTGAGACTATTTCTGCTGCTCTGTCACTTTATTCCAGAATCAGGTTCTTTGGCTGAATTTCCCATTGATGTTTTGTTTTGTTTTTATTCCTCTAGTTTAGATGACATCCTAGTTGGCGCCCCTCTCTTTATGGAGCGTGAATTTGAGAGTAAACCTAAGGAAGTAGGGCAAGTTTACCTATACTTGCAGGAAAGTGCCTTCTACTTCCGAGATGCACAGATTCTGTCAGGCACTGAAGTGTTTGGTAGATTCGGCAGTGCAATTGCTCACCTTGGAGATCTCAACCAGGATGGATTTAATGGTACGTAATGTATATATATTGTATGTTACAAGCAAATTGTTTGTGGACTGAATATGATGCTACTTGAGTCTGAAGATGACTTTCTTCCCAGTTCTTGGAGACAACTATAGGAGTTAGAGGATGCTTTAAAAAAAAAGTCCGTCCTCCACTTTTAACATGTAAATGTGATACTGAAAGCAATGAGCATCTCTCTGTCACACAACATGTAGTAGACAGAATAACCTAGTGGTTGGAATAGGAGGCTGATGTAGAGGTCAGAGCAGAATCAACAGGAGTGCCAGAGTTGTGATTGAGACAAGTCAATGATCAGAACCAGGAGTTATAAATCAGGGGGTTCAGAGGCAGGCAGTGACTAGGCCTGGAGCAGAGCAGGCATGGGGTGGAGCAAGCGGTGAATGATTTGGCATGGCTTCAGGCATAGACTACATTGAGCTACCATTGTGCTGCTGTTGATACTTAAATGGTGACCCATTGACCCTTCTGCCTAATCAGGGAGCACAGTTACTTAGTGAAGGTTTATTGGGTGCAGCCAACCTCATTGGGTTGCTAGGCAACCATGCCCAGAGCCAAGTGAATTCCTGACACACTCACTAATTCTAACAAGGAGGAAATTAAGGGTCATATCCTGTTAAATGTGAATGAATAGTCCCATTTATGTCAATGCTAATGTCGAACATACATTAACACTTAAATATTATTGTCCCTTCTTAGCCCAGTTGGCTTGGTCCCTCTTCAGGACCTCTCTACAAGAGGTTTGTTGGGGTACGTAGCTCACTCCCTAACATGAGGAGTGCTGGGGTACACTTTGCATGTTTATTGACTAAGCCATCAAAAGGAATGCTACTCGCTGTCCTTTCAGTGCTGTTCTACTAAGGCAGGCAACTGATCACACAAAGTCCTACTGAACTTTTTTATCATCCCTTCATATTGTAAGTTTGTGGGTTGGGTGCAAGCTTTTTGTCTGCCTAGAATCTCTCAGACCTTTTTAAACACTTTGGATTCAATCCCCTGACCTGTGTGAAACTCACATGAGACTCCATATCTGGTAAAAAGTTCATTCACTAGACCATTGCTATTGCCACAACCTATTAATTGCCTATTAATAGCCATAGGCTATTTTGTGAAGTAGTCCATAGCTACTGGCAGCTATAATTGCCAGCCCCTGTCTCGGGTAATGGCCCAAGAACATCCAACAACAATGAGCTCCATTGTTGTCCCAAAGGATACTACTGCAACGGGTTTCTTCTAGGTTTAGGGGGACCTCTTTTTGCAATGCAAGCATCATATTTCCTGCACCAACTTTCTAAGTCCTGCTTGTATTTTACCATATAGAAGTTTCCCTTAGCTTGGCTAATGGTTTTGTAACCTCAAAATGTCCAGCTTTTTAAAGATCATGACATGATCTCAAACGCTCCTTTTTCAGTTCATCTTGCACAGTTCGCAGGTATCTGCATCCATCACCCCTTGATTTTTCCCATCACCCCTTAGAAAGTTTCCCAATCCAATATTTCAAATTTAAATTCCAAGCTTTCCCACTATGGCTAGAAATCTTTTACTGTAATGTTGTTAAATGACATTATGTTACAGGGTGGCTAGGTATGCTATCTGATTTTCCAGTCACACGCTATCTTGAAATCAGGATCCTCTAGATGGGAATATTTTAGTTGTTCTGGGGTCCATTCTTGCAGCCGCACCCGGCTTGTTCAAGGATGAACCAAGAACATGCATGCTAATGTGAATTAGAGGAAGTTGGCCCACTCCTCTCCTTGTGCTGCTAATATCTTGCTGTCCTGCACAAACAAGGCTGTGTGGATAAGTCATCAACATTGCCATGTGTGTGACTGAGTGTAGGGGTGAGTTCAGGGAACAGGGCACCCCCCCTATTCTGTAGCTTGGATAAGTCATCAACATTGCCATGTGTACATGGCCAGACCTGTGTGTGACTGAGTGTAGGGGTGCGTTCAGGGAACAGGGCACCCCCCCCTATTCTGTAGCCCCTACCCCAAAGAGGGGGCACGCAACGGCATTTCCCCCCCACTGTCCTTATAATTTGACTATATTCCCTCCATCCGTTTCACCAGTGCTCCACGCGATTTGCCCTGAGACATGCGGTCCTAGTGCCCTGAACCAATATTCTTTGAGTATAACACCCTTATCCATCCCAGGGTGTCTTTATTCTGGTCTGTGGTGCCTCAATTGGCACACCGCCAACAAAACCTCCACCTGTGCATCTGGGCGCCAGGAGGAGTAAGGGGACCCGGGCCCACCCTCTCCACCGGGTTGTGACCCAGGGCCCCGAGGGGTAGAAACCTGCACTCTCCCTTTGGTTGATGGGGACACTGCCTGTAACATGCCAACCTGCGGGCCTTGCCAGGGGGTCCCGCCCTGGGTCATTTCCTACCTCTCCGACCTTACAGACCGCTACCTGCGAAGTCAGTCGCCAAGGTCCTCAGCTCCTTCAAAGTCCTGTCCCGGAGGCTCTCACTCAGTGCTCCCACCCTGGCCCTCCTCCTTCCCCGCAGCCATCCTCCTTCCTCCCCCATTGATCTAGCAGCGCGCCATTTTTAAATGCTGCACCGCATAGAGCGCTGAGCGTGCCGCACGGCGGACACCTCCTTTCCCCCCACCCCATGCGTACTCCCCGCGGCCATGTCTGAGCTGCCCAGAGCATTGGCACACACGCTGCTGGACTGTTGCCGTGACGCTCGCCCTCCTGCCTGTGACAGCGGCGCTTCGGCAGGAGTGCGGGGCTTGGATGCCCTGTCACACTGTGCAATCATAGCTTTGCTATGGCAAGCTGGTAGCAGTCTTTCAGGATTTCTGGATTTTAAAAGCCTCTGCAGACTTCCATTCATACAAATAATAATGAAAATATTGTGTAGATTTAACTACTCCTTTCAGGTGGTGCAATAATTTCTCTAAGGAAAACTTAAGCGACTTTTGCTACAATAAGCTATCACCCCCTCAGTTTCCTTGTGTTCTTGTGTCAATACCTCTCTCAAAACATGAGCAATGCTTTACGAGCATCCATGTCTAGCAGGAAAGGGGGGTTGAAAAAGCTGTTCCTTTCTTGGCCTATATTAGAGCATTATGCTACATTACACGCCGCTGACCATTGAAATGGTTTCTCACAAATGGCAAACACATAAATGAACTTTCTGTAACAGAAACAGAGCTTTATAAAACATTTCACATCTGTGTTTAGGGAGTTAGCTGGCTCTGTACAGCCTCAGTTTTTTGGCAGTGGAAATTCCCTTCTTGCTAACTGTATGCCCAAGGTACATTATCTTTTTGAAACAGTGCTAATTTCTTTGGGTTTGGTTTCAAATTGTCAGACTTCATCTGATCACAGACCATTTTTAAATGTTTTACTGCCTGTTCAAATGCTTTCACATGCACCAAGATAAAACAGACAGGCTTAGAGGGGCAGGGGCATGTCATGTATTCCTCTCCAAGGCGGCAAACATAAGTCAAAACCACCACTTTACATGGCCACAAAAATTGTCCTGCTGAGAGAGCTCTTTTTCCCTTTTTTGCATCTACTTCTACTTTCTGATACCGACTTCTAAGTTCCAGTGTGAAAAACCAGACAATGTGCTACAGCATCTAGGATATCATCTGTTCGTGGTAATAGATAAGAATGTTCTTTAAGTATGTCTTTGAAACGTTTACACTGCTCTCCATGAGCCCTTGTTCTCTGACCTGAGAGTAAAGTACTTGCTTCAGGAGGCGAATGTCAGGCACATGTATACAGTGGCCAGCCCTGCAGAGTTGGTATTTCATGACCGGCACTTCTATACTGCTGATGTTGGCTGCAGAGAGAATGCTGATGTTGGTCTTCCCAGCTGATCATGGGAATCCTTCTGAGGCAGCACTGCTGGAACTGCTCCAACTGCTTGATGTCATTTGTAGGATACTCAGGTCTGAAACCTATAGAGAAGGGAGAGGATAACAACTGCCTTGTAAACCAAGATCTTGGTGCCTGTTTGCAGATTCCTATAGTTGAAGGCTTGTTTAAGTAGTTTTCCGAAGGATATGTTGGCACAGTGGATCCTGTATTTAAGTTCTGTTAATGCTGGCCCTTTGTACTCTACAAATCACCATTAGCAGAGAACCCCTGGAAAATGTGAACCATTTTCCGTACCTGGGCAGCCATATCTCCCAAAGCATAGTTTGTGCAGGTAGAGTACTTTGGTTTTCCCAGTGTTGAGAAGTCTTTGACTGTCATAGACATCTGTACAAATATTTAGGGTGCTTTGCAAGTTGACTTCTGTGTATGCAAGAATCACAGTCTTCTAAATATTGAGGTTAGTGATGTCAATTCGTATGATCTTACATTATGTTAGCAGATGTTAGAGACTGAGGAGTTGGCCATCCATATGACATTCAGTCCCAGTTCTGTGAGGAAGGCAGTCACAGATGAGAATCAGGATCATAGCAAGGTAAAGGAGAAGAGTGTCAGAGTAATGAGACAGCCCTGATACAGGTGTGAATGATGAATGGTTTGGTGTATGAGCCATTGCTCAAAAATGGTGACGGTCATCCCATCATGGAGCAGTCTGAGGATGGAAATAAATTTCTCTGGACAACCAAAACTACACAGCACCTTCCACTGGGCTTCATGATTGATAGAATCAAATGTTTTGGTTAGGTCAATGAATGCCATGAGCAGTTCCAGGTATTGCTTCCTTAGGTGAACTGCTGCTAGAAAAGATTCAAGTTCTGTAGTAAATCTGACAGCCTCTCAGAGCTTCTTTGTTCTCCTTTCACTGATCTTGGTCTGCAAGCATATGTCCAGCTGTTTGGCAATGGACCAATTTATAGCTAATCTCTTCTAGAAGGACTCAGTTGCATCTGGATATACCAGGAACATGAGTCTCTGTAGATTTCCTGCCAATTCAGGTGGGGTTTCATCTTCCCCTCTCCTAGCTCTTAGCTGTACTCTGCTTTTTTAAAATTGATGTCTAGCTCCAAAATGCATCTCTAGGGCTTGTATCAAG